ATGGCTCTGGGGACAACCGCGAGAGGGTCGGGGCTGGATCCGCCGGGGCTGCGAGAGGAGCTGCTCCCAAAGCATCCCAAACCAGAGCCTGTTTCCAGAAGGGACCTTCCCCCGGAGCAGCTGGAGGCTCTGAGCCCCGCCGGGTGCTGTCCGGCTAGGAAGAGCTGAAGGAGCAGGTGGGGAGCTCGAGATGAGCACAAAGAAACAGTGAAAATCTGCAGCCCGGCTTTTTGTGGTCACACAGATGGGTTATCTTGGGGCTAAAGAGGATCCAGCTCCCATCCAAGTTTGTGGTGGTTTATTTTAATGGCTGGGAAAATCGTCCATGTGGCTTCTTTGGTGTCTAATAGCATGGTAACTTGGCAAGTGACACAGAGGATATCCTGTCTCCTCGGGAAAGGCAGGTATCCCCAAATGATCTACCTGTCATCCCTCATGATGGGAAATGCTTGTTTCTCACACACGGAGCAGGGCTGGCAGTCTCACAGCCCTCCTCTCTGCACTGAGCCCTGCAACACCAGCAAAATCATCTGGCACTGTCACACAAGGTGACTCAGGGCTTCAGCTTTCATTCTGGCCTCATCTCCCACGCTGACTTGTCAGCTCTTAGCAATGTTGCCCTCGCTTCAATTATTCACCTATCATTAAATCTTTACTTCTTGTTAACCCTGGGCCATGTCTGCAAAGCAAATCACAGCACAGCTGGGCTCTGGGGAAGTCAGCTAGAGCCTGACACCAAAGATGCCCATCGTGCTGGGTGGCTGGCTGAGCAAAATCCACCACTGACCAACTAGGAATATCTTTTGGAGTAACAACCCTGCACAGTGCTCTGTGTGCTGGGAGCTGCGCTGGGACAGGGGTCCCCGCACAGCACTGCGATGCTCATAGCAAGTGAGATCAACAAGAACATGCTCTGTATGGGCAGCACAAGGTCGCAAAGCACCTTGTTTGAAAGCAAAACACCCGCTTTTGCAAGTGGCTCTGGCCTCATTGTACCAAATCCAAGTGATGCTGAGGGGTGCATATGTGCAGGGCTTGCTCTGTGCTCCTGAACAGCACAGACCATGGAGCCGTGCTGTCCCCAGCTACCTCATGGTTCCTCCCCTCATCTTCTCCACCCCACAGACTAAGGCAGACTTGAACCTAGTTGGGAAATTGGGATTGGTGCTCCTTTCCCTCTAATAAATCAGTGGTGTGATTTGCACGCTGCTACTCCCGCCCACACAGGCAATGCCTCTGCTTGGAGTGGGTGGTGAGGGGAAAGAGGGCACTGATTTTAGCCACTCTGCCCTGCCTGCACGGTCCCGTCAATCAGCAGGTGACGCATTCAGGGCCATTTATTTCTGGCTGCAAGTGGATTATTTGGAAGCTATTTCAACAGTTGTTCAGACTCCTCAAAATAGGCTGCCTGCAGCTCCAGGCTCCTTGCTCTCTCCTGCTGCTTTCTTCTCCTCCTGCTTTCTTCTCCTCCTGAATAATTCACACCAGAAAAACCCAACTGCCTGGAAGGCACCGCACAGCCCCACTGCTCCTCATCTCCCCATCTTTGCCTCCCAGCACAACATTTCAGCAAGGGCTTTGGCTTACATCCCTCTTCTCTAAGCTATCAGGGTTGATACTTTAAATGAAACTTTATATGAAACTGAGGTGAGGCTTGCTGAGCAAGATTGCCCTGTGCCAAACTGAGGGACAGCAGGGGGAAACGCAGCTGCTGAACACTGCCAAGCTCTCCTGGCTGTGCAACTAGCAGCTCTGACTTCTAGCAAAATCCAAGGGGGGACTTATGTCTATTTGTTACTGGACAGTGCAATCATGCAAAAAGAGACATTTCCCCTTGCTGTGCACTTAGGGAATTTAGAGATTTAAAAGAATCATAGAAGAAAAACGTGCATCAACAGCTTACAAGGCCATTGAGAGAGGCCAGGACCCAAGCGAAGAAGCCCTATGTAAAAGAAGCGAAAGAATTCAGCACCCAAGGAGCCAGGAGGAGAGTACAGGCTGCTTCAGGTATTTTGCAGAGATCGTTTCAATTGTTTCATTCAATTACCATGGGTGGAAAAAATAATCCAGCTAGATGTCAAAAACCTCCCATCAGGAATTCCAGTTTCCTTTGCCTCTGAGCTATAAATACCACAGTGTGCAAAGGGTGAACGTGGAGCAGTGAATGGCAGCTGGAGGGGCTTATGTCAGGATCAAGTGAAGTTTAGCTATTGTTAAATGAAGTGCCACATGCTGGCTCAGCCCCGTGCCCGGGCATTGTGGTGTTTCCCCACTCAAAGCCAGTTCCGACGGGCCTCACTGGGCTGCAGGGAGGAATGGGCAGCCCTCCAGCACAGCATCGCCCCAGCGAGTAGGAGGAGGCAAGGTGGGAGTATAGGGAATTTAGGCAAATCTGTGTCCTGGTTTCAGCTGAGACAGAGTTAGCTCTTCTTTTTAGCAGCTAGAAGAGCTCTGTGTTTTGGTTTTAGTCTGAGACTTGCTCTGAGGAGAACGCTGACAGTGCACTGATGTTGGTAGTTGGCACTGAAGTCTCAAGGACTTTTCAGCTGCCGTGTTCTTGCCAGTGTGCAGGAGCACAACAGGATAGGGGGGAGCATGGCCGGGACAGGGGGTCCAAGATTCTCCTTATGAGTTGTACTTAGACTGAAGATTGAGGGCCAAACTAGCCAATTAGTATTCCCTATCATGCAGCGTCATGCCCAGTATAAGAATGAGGGTCAGCCGGAAAGAAGAGCCTTTGCTCTTCTGGGACTCTCACTTTCGGACTCTCAGAGTGCTCTCTCTGTCTCGCTCTCTATTTTCGGGCCTCTCACTTGTCTGGGATTGTGGTATCGGGACTTATCTGTTTCGGGATCGTTATTTTGGTATGAGACGGGCCTTGGTCAAGGGGTGGTGAGCAACTACACAATACATCACTCATTTGTATATGTATTTATCACTGTACATATATGTATATATTCATATATTAGTAGCAGTAGTATTAAATTGTTCTAATCTCAACCCACGAGTCTCTCTTCCTTTTCTCCTTTAATTCCCTTCCTCAGCCCCAGGGGGTGGGGGAGGGCGAGTGAGCGGCTGTGTGGAGTTTAGTTGCCGGAGTGGCCTAAACCATGACAATCTGTCAGCATGACTCTCTCCAGCCAAGCACCGAGTGTGAGCCATTCCCCTTTCCCACTGCGTGCCCTATGCTGGGTGTAGTACTGGAGACCCGGAGGCACTGAAATGAAAGCAGAAGCAGGTGGCAGGTTTTGCTGAGCAGGAGTCAACCTTTGGCTCTTACTCCCAGTTTTGCTGTTGTGATGGTCCCTTGTGATCCTGCCTCAGCAGCCACAGGGGACTTGTTTCAGGTAACAAAGCCAGATAATAAGAAAGACAGGATAAAAACAAGTAGGCACTTCCAGGAAGAACATGTCTCTAGCTAACTAACTCAGTCTAGGGAAAGGTAATGGCATTTACAATGCTGCTTCTAATATTACACTTCCCATCTACTAATCCTCCGTGCTTGATCTCACAGAAGGAACCTCCCAAGTGTTTTTCCTGCCAAATAATCAGCAGTGATGCTACCAAATAAATAGGGAATCAGGGAAGTAGTATTTTGCATTAGCAACTTTTTAATAGGATATTACAGTCCCTAATTAGCTGAGTCTGATTGTACCCTGGTGCAGCGTGGGGTCCCACAGGATATGGGCTTGTGAGTCAACAGGCAAAGCTGTTCCAAGAAAAAGCTATGAGGGATATATCTACAGGAGCACTGCAAATAGACCCAAGCTCGCTGCCTGCCCTGCCTGGTGCTGGAAGGGCTTCAGCGTGTGGAGAAACACAAGGGCTGGTTGAGGGACTGTGGGTTTTTCTTCCAGGCTATGGTAACATATTCCGGCAGGTAAAACAGCAGTGTAAGGTCAGCAAACCACCTGGTGCAGAGGGCTGGCTGAACTTGTGCAAAAGAGGATTTAGGATAGACAGGAGGGCAACTTGAAGAGTTATAAAGCGGGTGAAGCATTTGAACAGATTCTCCAAAGAAATTGCAAAATTCGCCTTAGAAGATGCCTCTGGTCTTACCTGGTTGGTAGAAGTCTGGGGAGAGCTCCCTGGCCATCATCCTGGCTATGCCCGATTCATTGTTAGCTGCCTGAGCTGCCTGCTCAGATCCTTCAGCCTTGGCTTTGGCATGAGCTGTCCTGCGGAGAGAAGAGGGGACAACAGTGAGCGCCGTGCGAGCCGAGTCAGCCTAGCTCGAGCAGCCAGGAACAAAATCAAATCAGCACATCTGGTATAACACAGCACTCAGAGCCTGCCCACTCAACCCAAAAACCCCACACTTGAGGAGAAAAGACCAGATTTTCAAGAAGTAAGGGGCACAGATGCTCAAGGCAAATGTGTGAAGGTTGCACTTAGCCACACAAGGGAACAGGGCAGGTGTGTTTGCAAACACGAGCATGCTCATGTGTTGCAGCGAGGCAGCAGGTGCTGCGAAACAGGCTTGCTGCCGTGCTGCGAAGCACTGAAAACCCAGCTCACAGGAATTCCTAAAGCATTGTTGCAGGCATCTTTGGAGCATGAAGGGACAATAACGCAATGGCTGAACACCGTATTGTCACCAGCCCTGAGCTGCTGCACCTCGCCAGCGGCAGCGTGCCCCTGCCCAGCGCATCGGACGTGTTTTACCCCAAATGTTTCTCCCATAGCTCTCCAGCAAACAGCACATCTCATCCAAGGGGCTCCTTCACTCACCGCAGCCCAGGGAGCTGCTCTCACCGACACTAGGAGAGGCAGAGCTATTGCGTCCCTCACAGCTTGGCTTCCCGCGGCCTCTCCACTCCTTCCCAGCACATCTCCTCCTTGCTCTACAGGGCTGAGAGCTACCAGAGTTATTTCGCTGGCCGGCTGTCGTATTCCTTGCATGCCTCACGCTCAGGGCCCTGTGATCTTTACGCTAAAAGCAGGCTGGCTTTGCAGCCCAGCTGCTCGCAGTCTGGGAAAGAGCTGACTTCAAACAGCAAAATAGCACCTTAAAAATAAGGGAGGCCGAAGCACCATGTATTCAGCTGTTTTGTTCCACTCGGGGCTTACAGAGACCTGCTTTCCCCATGCTCTCACTATCCTGTTTGCCGAGGGTCCCCATATCTCTATTGCTGCATGTAATAAAGCATACACTGGCTGCACATGCAAAACCCCATATTTTTGTGCGGACAGTTAGATAAGCAGCCAGCAGCCCCAAAACACCAATTCACCACAAATTACAACCTCTAATGTGGTCTCATGGTGTCTGATGAGCTGTTTAAATGGCACCCAGACACCCTTATCAGACTCAGGTTGGTACCTGGTCATGTTTTAGGACAAAAAATGAGGAAAGACGCAGTTATCATCCCTGCAGGGAAAATGCTCCAGAGGAATTTTTGAACCATCGGTCATGAAATTAGGACTAATTCTTTCCCATTAAACTGAGATGCTGTCTGCAGACAAGACTAGCTTTAGTCTGAATACTCAACAGGTGCAACAAAAAAGTGATAGAAATGCTGTTCTGAGACCCTTAGAAGGTAGGAGATACACACATACACATACATACAAACACACACCCACCATTTTGAGTAGCTGCAGGGAAAGGACTATATGCAGGGCATTAATCCCAACTGATACAGGCAACAGTGTGACTTGATGGGGAGCCGAAAATGCTGTTCAGGGCCCTGCGATAGAGAAGAGGGTGTGGAATTGCTGTGGCTCAGCCTGTCTCTCCCTGGGATGACATCCCGCTCCGCCAGAGCCATGATTCACCTCCCTGCCCACACTCACACGTTATCTCCCCGCTTTCTCTGTAGGCTCAGCTGCCTGGGATTGCTGTCATTCCTGGTCTTTTTATCCAAAATTATTACAGCTCCTGAAAAACCCAGAGACAAGACATGATGAGGCAGAAAACAGCAATTTTAAGCCTCTGCTCAGAAGCAGGTCTGAGGCAGCTCTGAACAGAGAAAGCACATCCTTTTTTGGTAGCATATAATCAGTGTGATTAATGCCACTATAATCTGGCAGGGGCCAAGGGGGATGTTTCTGTGCTCTCCATGTCTGGGGGATCAGAGCAGCCTGGGCGTGCTGTGCGTGGGGCACACAGCCTGCCTGGCACTGGCCCCAGGAAGAAGCTTGCAAAGTGAGCATTCAGCTTTTCCCCCCGGCAGGACGTGCTTCAACCTCTGGCTTTGTCCTGTGGCTCTTGGAGGATGGGATTCACCATACAGAGATAAAATCCTCCCTTTCAGCCACTCGCAGGCAGCTCCCAGCAAGCAAATGGATGCTTTCCTAAAGGTGACTTCCAAAAAAGTAGTCTGGAAGTGGAATGGATGCGAGGTCTGCTCCCTCTGCTAGTAGGGACATAGCCAGACTCATGCTGATGTGTTATCAAATGGGTGCAGGCGGCTCCCACAAGCTCAGCTCTCCCCTAGCAACTGGGGACAATGCAAGGGAACAGCTCAGGGTGTCAGAGGTGACAAGGCAGCTCCCAGTTACACTCATGACCTGATGGAGAATTCCTTTCCTCCAGAAAAGCTGCTGGCTGCTGCATGGGGCTTGAGTACTGCAATTCCCGTGGGCAAAGAGGCGGCAAGGCCAGGAAGACCCCAACCTGGGTTGCAGAGGCTGCAGCGAGGATGCTGCGGGTGCTGAGGAGCTGAGCCAGCTGCCCTGAGCCATCTCTGTGGGCCACCATGGCTCCAAGGCTAGCAGGGCTCTGCAACGAGCCCTCCTGGCACAGATGGGCATGAGGTCACGGAGGCCATGGGGCAGCTCCCAAGCTCCACGCACAGAGCTATGACAGCTCACCGGGCGGCACGACTTTGGGATCCCCCGCTGCCCTGGGAGTATGAGCTGCACGGTGGCTTCGCCCGGCTCCCTCACTCAGTAGGACATGCCCAACCTCTGCTCCTGTTCCCTTGCTTGCAAAGTCATCCAGAAGTGCTTCGTCTGGGGGGACTGAGATCAACGCAGCTGCAATTCTGGCACCTCCAGCACATCACGTGTTGGCCCTGCCAGTGTCCCAGGGAAGCCGTAGCACAAGGCAGAGCACAGCTCTCCCCTGGCCAGCAGCCTGGCTCTGGGCAGGGACTCTGATGCCCTGCACTGGGTCCCACCATTGCTGAGATCACATGTGATGAACATCTGGCTCACAGAGACACAGTGTAGTGTTTTAAGTACGTCTTCTGTAGCTCTCCTGGTTGTGCCGTGCATCCCCGGGGCACGAAGGGAAGGCACTGCCACTTGCAGCCCTCCAAAAAGCTGCACTGATGGCTTAGTAACACTGTGACAAGGCACAGCCTGGAAGAAAGGGCTCAGCCACAACAATAACATCTAACTTGCCCAGAGTATATCCGAATTATTTATTCGCAAGGCTGGCAGTGCCTGGGAGCTGAATGCAGAGAGAAACTTGGCCCTGGCCACAAAGCAGGAGACAAATACCAGCCACCCTGGGAGAGCTCAGCACATGCAACTGGCAGCACAAAAGCCTCTCCCAGCCCATGGGCCAGGATCTGCTGGATGCAGCAGTCAAAAAAAAAAAGGCTTAGGAGGTTTGAGGGAGGAAGAAAGGTGATCTTTGAACCTTAGACATGAAATATATGAGAAGGAAAACTTCTTCCAAGGAAAAGATCTGCTCAAAAAACAGAATCAGCTTTTGCAAAAAGGAAAATTCTGGCCTTTTATTATATGCGTATAAATTTGATACTTTTCAGGCAGCACTTGAATCAGGGCCACACTTATTTATTTATTGCTGGTTGTGCTGTCAGCTTCCAGCCCCTTTGCAGAAAGCAGCCTGTGCAAAAACCAGCAGAGGAGAAAGTCTGGAGATGGAGGAGGTCAGGATAAAACTGCATCAGAGGCCCATGGATTTTATAGCACCCAGCAGCAAAATTCAAAAGACCCTTTTCAAAGCAGTGCTGGAAAACAAACCATGAACATCAAATGTGTCCAACCAGGGGCAATAAACACAAAGAGGGGCCTTTACAAACCAACGCCAGCACTGCCCATCGCCAGCAAGGCAGTACCACCCTGCGGTGAGCACTTGCCAGCTTCACTCTGAGCCATCTCTCCCAGCAGTGCCATTAAAAATAGCTCTGGTGAATCCTTTGCAAGGAGGAGCAGCAGCCCCATGCCGAGCCCAGGGGAGGTATGTGGGCAATGCCTGCAGCCCCCGGCGCAGCCCCGCTGCTGCTGCCGCCTGGCAGCACCGGTTGGGTCACAGCGGCTGCTCCAGGGCTGCCCCGGGCAGGGAGGCTTCGCACCTCGGCTGGATGGGTGGGAGGAGGAGGGTTAAATGCATCTGCTGTTTTATTTGCTGCTCTGGCAGGGTTCTAATGCTCTAATTGTTTTTGTACCAGTGTAGGACAGAGCACCACTCCTGTCCTTCCTGGCTGTCTCCCAGAAACATTGCCCCAATCATTCCTCCGACTGCTACTAAAATCCCCTGTGGATACACGAGCCACAGCTGAGCACCGTGCTAACAGGTGAGACCCAAAGCCAAGCCAGCATGCCGGTATCTTTGGACAGTTTATGTGGTTTTGCACATCCACATTGGATTAGACTGTAAATGAGATTGGAATTAGCAGAGAATACCGCAAATACCAGACAGGGCTGGGGCGCCTGCAGGTGCGGCGATGACCTTGTGGCTAGAAATAGGGGAAGAGCTCAGCTCTCTGCCCAAGCTACTGCACGTTTGCTTATTAAGGGAAAGACAGACTCATCCAGCACCGTCCTTCCTTCTCCAGGGTCTCTCTTATCCTACTGATTCAGTAAACCCTGAGGAAAGACCAACTGAACACCTTTTTCTTGCCATTCTCAATTTAATAAGCTGAAAAAAGGTCATTAAGCCAATGAAATTAATCAGTCAGCTCTAGGAAGGAAGTCTCCTGCTAAACTTTCCTCTCCTGGAAACTGGCTTTTCAACCCCCAGCCAAATTCCTACTCCAGGATCTAGCAGGAATCATTTTGTCCTTCTGAAGAAACTTAAGATAACAGTTTGTCTTGGCAGGAATGTTTGCAGCACTCAGATACAGCAAAAGTAGCAGAAGTGCTTTTGCTGATGGCAACATGGTTCCTTCTGTGTTCACATCACAAAGGGCAAGGGCACACAGACTTGACCAACACAGACCTGTGCTGGGGGTTGGACTAGACGACCTTTAAAGGTCCCTTCCAACTC